ATGAAAATAATGAAAAAAAATGCAATTATCGAAAGGAAGCAGAATGCCCCATGAATGGAAAGTGTAAATCCACAAACGTTATATATAAATGTATCATCGCTGCTAAAAATCAGCCCAACAAAGTGAATATTGGATTAACGGAAGGCGAGTGGAAAAACAGATACAACAATCACAAATCATCATTCAATAATGTTAATTACAAAAAGTCCACCGCCTTATCAAACTACGTCTGGGATTTGAAAAACAATTTTAACGAAACCCCAATATTTACATAGTCTGTTCTGAAATCTGTACCACCCTACTCTAATATTTCCAAAAGGTGCCCGCTATGTCTATACGAGAAATTCGCAATTATATCCTATCCTAAACCTGATGAACTCCTAAATAAACGAAACAAAATCATATCAAAGTGCCGCCACGAAAACAAGTTTTTATTAAAAAACTACAAAGCTCGCTACAAACCTAACTAACCACTAACATTAATTACGCAACCCTATTTCGTACACCTCTAGGCTAACCAATAAATTATTCACATACACAGCTTTTGTAATATATTTCATAATATAATTTATATTCTTATACCCACTTTTGAAACTTATTTTTATATTCATTTATTTTTAATACAATAATTTTTAAAAACGATTCACATTATTATTAAATCGTATTTTTATAACAGACATTAAAACATACAACAACTTCACATATATTAACCAAAAACAAATTAATAATAACATTAACCGTAACTACTAAACTTGTGAATATTAAATCTAAAACATTTGAGGGTAAGCCAGTAGTCAATTGAAAAGTTGGTATGTTTATATGTTGATAAAGAAAAGTATCACTTAAAGTCTTATAAAATTTATGTTCTATGCCACTTTCATTTGAAATTGATGCTATACTACCGTTTGACCATTTAATGCCTGGGAAATTGATGGCCAATCCAAAACGTTTATATTTTTTTCCTGGAACCACTTTTTTACAATTCGTGCCGTGTAAATCGCCGCACTATCTTAATGGAAAATCTAGTTCTCAGTAGGTAAACCTTTACTAAACTCTATTAAAACATCTTTTAAAAGATCTACATAATTTCTTGCATTCATTTTTGTTATAATAAAACATATTGGAATTTTGCCGTCGAAACAAAATGCGGCCCACACCATAACTGTCCCTTCTCCGAAGTTACGACTCATACTTGTGCTATCTTTTTTTTAAATCATGCCAATAATACTTAAAATCATCAGGCCCATCTAGATTAAACTTTTTTTTGTTAGAAAAAATAACATTTTCCCATTCTGCATCCCATGTCATGTGGTCCATTGCAAACTTAAATCTTGTATATTTTTGTTTTTTTGTTGATCATTTTGTGATCATTCTTTTCCATTGGAATCGTCCTGATTTTAACAAAGTTTGTTGGACACATCTTGTAATCACAGGTTATTCAAATTCAGTCTTTATTTGTCTTGCTGTTCGTACTTCGGATGGTTCCTACATGGAACTATAGAAATTTCGCTGAGTGTAGTATTAACTTTAAATAAAAAGCATTAGAATTTGATTTAACTTTTTTTTTTGTTCTTTTTTTTCTGTTCTTTATTACAATATTTATGATACATGTGTTAGAAATAATATAAAAAATGAAAAGATAACAAGTCAAGATATCGTTAAGAAATAAAGTATAAAAAATAAAAATAAAGAACGCGGATACTCAAAGAAGACCATAAGGTCTTGTCACAGGGAAACCGCTATCGAAGAAATTAGAACGTTTTTATTTTTTTTTATTTTATGGTTTTTCCTTTTGTTGTGGTGTTTACGCCTTGCATCAATCAAATTAATGTGTCTTCCGAAGAGCTGACTCATGCGAATAACAACGTTCATAATTTTCTAAATAAATCTCTTGCACGCACTGAATTTAATTTGTCGAAAATAATCACTGAATATTATTAATTGCTACATATTATTCAATATATATAAACAATGTAATCACATTTCCAGACTGAATAAGAGCTGAAAGGTTGTTAGGGTTAGGGTTCAAAAGGTTGTCAGGGTTGTGCAAAAGGACCTAGATACGATGGTTATCGCTGTGTGTTTAGCCAAATTACAAAATTTCCGTTTATGCTTCTGACAGCAAAAACGCCAAGCCGCTGCCAAATATATAAACTACCCTTTACTCTTCTAACGACAAAAACGCCTAGCCACTGCCAAAGGATGCTTCACATCCTAACGTAGCCTACATACATATATTGGCAGATACATACATCCAATCTTTTTTATTTTCTTTTTCTTATATATATATATATATATATATATATATATATATATATATATATATATATATATATATATATATATATATATATATATATATTTTAATAATTTTGTCCTTTTTTTTTATTTATTTTTTTATTATTATTATTATTATTATTTTATTATTATTATTATTATTTTCAATATTTCTATTTTTGTTATTTATATAATTTTGTTCAATTTCTTTTTATTACAAAATTAATAAAAAGAAATTTAATATTATAAATTAAATTAAAAATAAACATACAATATTACAATAAATAGAGTTCCAAAACTTAAAAACTAATACATGTAAAATAATTCATTAGATTAAACATGTTAAATAATTGTTTGTTGATAAAATAATTAATAAAGAAATAAAAAAGAATATACATTATATAAAATACATATACTAATATAGATAAGAAATTTTTAAAAAATTTAAAAGTAGATTAATATATTTTCAGTTGAAAAAATGAGTTTTTTAAGATTTTGTTTAAAAGAATGAAAATTACATTCTTGAGAAATATTTTTAGAGTGATTAGAACTATTCAATAAAAATGGTCTGCGAAATGTTATAAAAAATTTTCCAATATTAGTTTGAGAAATTGGTTGTCGAATTAAGTTATCGTTCCTTAAAATATATTTATTTCTATCTTCTGTAAATACGAGTTACGAAAAGAAACAGGTGATAGGTGGGTCTTACATTTATACATAAAACAAAGAATATTAAAAACATTTAAGTCATATATATTGAGTACTTTCATATCATATATAAGAGGCTTAGCGTGAGCAAAACGGTCCTTAAAATTTATAAGGCGTGCTACATGCTTCTGCTGGCAATAAAGAAGTTTAAGTTTACTTTTATAAGTGCTACCCCAAGTAATGTTTGCATAGTTAATATGGTAATAAGTTAACGAATAATTTAACTGAATTAAGGTATCAAAAACGATTTTAATCATATACACCTAAAAATCTTTTCACTAAAACTCTTTTAATAATGTTATCGATAAAAAGAAAGAGTAAGTTTCTATATGTATATATATATATATATATATATATATATATATATATATATATATATATATATATATATATATATATATATATATATATATATATATATATATATATATATATATACATATATATATATATATATATATATATATATATATATATATATATATATATATATATATATATATATATATATATATATATATATATATATATATATATATATATATTTCATTTAGAAGTTTGTCTTTTTTACCTAAGTTTACCAATCGTTCTTCGTTGCCTTGTAGAACAACGATTTTCTGATTTAATTTAGACAGTCTGTGTCATATGTTTTAAGAAACAAAAGGTAAAAAATTAATTCCAGTGTTTCAATCTAAGTTATTGCGTTTTTGAACCGAAAAGAACTAAAAGTCACAAATTCCCGTCGGAATTATGGTACTTCATGCATTAGTTCTTATATAGATTACTGTTTCAATTAGTACTTCATTGACGCTGCTCAAGCAAGCTTTTATCTCTTGTTTGGAAAAATTCTATTTAAATGTATTGTTTCTTAATGTTTAAATTTTTTTTTATTCAATTAAATATTTTTTCCTCAAACATCAGTGCTTTGAAATTCTTTTCTATCTTTATGCTTTTCAAAATCATTATTTTATTATTATTTTTATTATTATTATAACTTTTTATTTCGTTGATTAAACAATATTACAATTTTCATATAATAATCTAAAAAATAAGCAACATTTTAAATATCTTGACTTAAACTGTAAGTCTAATGATTATAAAACCATAGGAATTACAGCTTTTTTTAATTATTTGCTTTCTGTTAACTCTCAACTTAAATGTTGGATGCTTGCTGCCAAAAGCAGATTTAGAATATTGCGGTGGGTTTAACTGTAGAATATATAATAAGAAGAGAGTTTGGGATTCAAACTAAAAATTAAAAGTTAAGGAAGCAATTAAGATGATGACAAAAACATCAAAACTAAATTTTGAAAACCTTGTTTTTTATTTATTTTGCAAATCTTTATTACTTGTCATTTAACGGATTGGTTTTAAAACATAACGGAAATTTTAATTTTACGGTAACATTATTCTTTAACATATTGTGATGTCTTTCAACCGACTTTTTTTAAATTAGCAATTTAAATCACAAATCTAAATAAAAGATTTCTTAACAAATTTCAGAAAAGTTTAAAATAGTTTTTTGTACATTTTCTTCGATCATTATTTTATACCTTTTAAATAAAAACTTTAATATTTCGTGATAATTTAAAAAAATCATTTTTAAAATTATTTTAAATATGGAGTGAAATATAAATTTAAATTAACCACCCTAAAGTTTTAAATATTGAGAAAAGCTTTAGGTTCCGGTTGACGTAAAAATCATTATGTTGACGTCACCGTCGCAAGAGATTTTCTTAGTAAACAAATCTATTATTTAATCCGCAAATGGAGCGTGGCTCACAGTTGTCCAAAAAGGTGTCCTACCCTCTTCGTAGATGACCCAAAAAATCCTTTGAAGGGGTGATTCTATAGGTAATAGGGATCACTTTAAAAAAAAAATTAAAATCTTTTAATTACATCTATAGGAGAAAATTGCATTTAAAGTTTCCATTTAAATACACTAAAAAGCCGGCTATTTTTATTTCTTAAGATTTCTTTCATTCAAATTATATAATATATGTACAAATTATTTCTACATATTAACAAAATTAACAAAACTAAAGCATTTCATAAAACAGTTTCTCTTTTTAAAAAGTCTTCTTTACGCAGAACACTTTCATTATTTTCTAAATAGCTATTTTCTTCATTGGTTAATGATTCAATAAAAACTAAAAGTTTATTAATACATTTTTCTTCGCAAACTATATCACTTATTTCATTATTTTCAATTGAAGTCTTACTTAGATAAATTTGATTTTGATTGTAAGACAGTGAAGAACAATGACCATCTGAAATTGGTGAATAATAGGTTGGGAAATCAAGACTCAAATTGTTCTTCATATCTTTACTTTGACACTGATATACGTTTAAAGTAGAGAAAATGTTGTTATTTGCAGACGCTTTATGATTTAGCTTTTCTGATTCATTCAGTTTAGGTAGCAATGGATAGTTTTTATTTTTGTTTCTATTTTCATAACATTTCATTGTTAAAGAACTTCCTCTGTCATTTAAAAGTTTTTTAATATCGTTCATTGACGTTTTTCTAAAATACTTACCCCCTGAGATTCTTAAACTACCTTTCAGTTTTCTTGAAGCATTATGCACACGCTTAGGTAAAAAAAAGCACACAGATAGTTTGTATAGTTCTTTCCGATACATGGCACCCTTGTATAAAAAAACAAGAGGATTTGTTACAACTTGCAAATAAAAAAGCGAAAATGATATACTCCATATTCGATCAAAAATATCGTGTTTTACAAATGCCGTTACAAGGTACAAAGCTTGAATGGGTAACGTTGTAATTCCAAAAAAAAAATACATAGTCAAAAGAGTACGGTTTAGGCGTTTAGAGTTACGTTTTCTTAAAGCAATTAAATCTCTAGGGACATGGCCTTTTAGACTCTTTGCATTATCAGCAACTACTCTCTGTATTTTAAAATATGAAAAGCCCGTACATACCATTGGTATTAGATAGGTTAGTGAAAATATCATCACTGCATAAATACGCTCATTGCTAGTTTTTTTATAAAAATAAATATTACAGGAATCACCTTCATGAGTTACATGCATTGTTTTATTAAAATCCGTACCAATAGTATTAGTAAATTCACCTAATAATCCCATTAATGGAACAGATATGATTATAAACGATATTGCCCAGAGGAGTGCGATAATCAAGGCAACGGATCGAACTTTTATTTCTTGAATGATTCTGGATTGATTAACAATCATATACCTAGAAATACTTATTGCAGTGTGTGTCAAAACGCAAACACCAGCAAAATGTTCAAATATTGGCATTAATACTTTGCATACAAGCCTATTTGGTTTCCAAGATTTTAATCCCATAGCCATTGAAAACGGTATGACAATAGCAGATATGGCAATACTTGCTACTGCAAGGTTCGTAACTAAAATATTGGTTATGTTCTGAAGTTTCTTCTTTTGAGCAATCAAGACAACAATAAACATATTTCCGATAACGCCACCAACAACAATGAAAGTGTTCAAACTTGTCAAAATAGTTGTTTGAATTTTGAGATATTCATCATTTGCCATTTTAAAAAAAATCCCAATATTTGTTTTTGGCTTATTTTAAATTCTTTAATTCTAAAAAAAGGAAAAAAGTTTTTTATTAGTAATAAATCCAATTAATTAATAAAACTAATTCAATCAAAACTTAAACCTTTTTTTTCTTTTTATAAAGATAATCACGCGACACAATTCTTGTCAAAAATTTATTTTAAATTTTGAATAAACGTTTCTTGAGGTACTCAAAAACATTTGTTATTCAAAAACATTTTGCTAAAAACTTTTGTTTGTGAAATGATAAAACTACAAAAATAAGCTTCATACCTTATTTCCGTAACTGAGGTCATTTTTTGATATTGTTTTTAGTTATTACTTATTTAATTAATTATAATCTTAACACTGTGTTTTCGTTTACTTTTGTTCACTTTTTTTAATTTGTCTATAAATCTCCTATAAAAATAAATAATGACACTATTTTAATTGTTTCGTGTTTAAAATTTATGGTAATTATTAAACGATAGAATTGTTGTATAAATATGTTGCAGTGTGTTTATACTGAAAATATAGCATATATATATATATATATATATATATATATATATATATATATATATATATATATATATATATATATATATATATATATATATATATATATATATATATATACATATATACATACATACATATATATATATATATATATATATATATATATATATATATATATATATATATATATATATATATATATATATATATATATATATATATATATATATGTATATATATATATTGGTGACTTACATACAAAAATATTACATACAAAAAAAAGACGAGCTATCGTAACTTCGGGACTGTATTTTAATTTTACAGTTTCCTTTGACGTTTTATATATATATATATATATATATATATATATATATATATATATATATATATATATACATATATATATATACATATATATATATATATATATATATATATATATATATATATATATATATATATATATATATATACATATATATATATATATATATATATATATATATATATATATATATATATATATATATATATATATATATATATATATATATATATATATATATATATATATATATATATATATATATATATATATATATATATATATATATATATAGGAACAAATTTATCATGAAACGGTTTATGTATATTTTTATCTCTGTGAAACGGTTGTTCATCTTTTGTTGTTCCTTTTATGTTAAATTATATAATACACATAAATGCAATGGAAAGAAAACGTCTAAAATAATTTCTTTGAAGTTTAAGATTTTTTTCAATTAAAACCTCATAAACAAAGGCGTGTGTGTGTGTTGGTGTGCGCGTGTCTCTGGGTAAATATATGTTTGCTTGTGTGTGTGTGTGTTTGGTGTGTGTGTTTGTGTAAAGATCCTTTGCATATAGTTGCGTAAAGACTTACGGTTTAATATACTTCAGTAACTTTTCTTGAAGGTACTTATTTATTTATCATCTTTTTACAATTTTTTCTACAATATGATATGTAAATTTTTATTCAAAACCAATCGTGGCATGCTTAAAATAATAATCTATCAGAAATAAGCAAATATTTACAGTACCGTCTGCACTTAAGTACTGGAAAAGGAAATGCTCGAAATGAACAATTGCATTAGATAATCTTGACGAATAAGTCTTTTGTTTTAATCTTAATTAGATTTTGTGACCAAAAAATTCTTTTTTTTATCAACTTGTTTTGCAAATCTCCTCATCGTACTTTGGCGACATCAACGTATTTTTTTTACGTACTTTGTAATATTGATTTATATTAAGGGCATTGACAAATGTTGATAGCATTTTTGACGTAGGATGACAGCCTCATTAAATATTTTTAATTATTTTTGTTAACATTACTGTGATTTTATCAAAATTAAAAGACATTAAAAACTCCAAACTAAATGGTTTTTAAAAAAAAAAAAAAGAAAAAGAATTTAAAATAAAAAAAATATATATAAGAAAATGACATATTTGGCGAAAAAAAAATCCACAAAAACACATAATTTACGGGAGTAGGTTTAAATTCGACAAGTTTAGGTAATAGTTAAACATTCAACAACTCTCCTAAATTGTTTTTCCTCTCTCTATCTCCCCCCTCCCCTCTTCTTATCTAATTTTAAAACTAGATTTGGAAGGAGGGGGGTTAAAAAAAAACATAGTTTAAATTTGCGTCATATTTACTTAAAACTTTGTTTTGAAAACAGAAAGAAAAAAGAACCACTTAAAATGTATAGCACAATTAGTATCCTTCATTTGTTCGTGGTTAAGTTTTAAAATAATTTATAATACTATAAATATTTGTCAGTTCTATATGCTTTATTATTTTTAATGGTAGCAGGAAAAAATACCACCGTAATAAAACGCCACGGAAAGAATCTTCCAGGATTTTTTTTACAGCCTATAAAATAAACGATATATTACGATAAAATTTTTTAAGGGTAGTTTTTTTTTTAGGGGATTTTTTCAGGCGTTTTATTTCCAGGGGAATTTTTTCTTTGGAGAATTTTTCTTAGAACTATTTTTAATGTGTAACTTTTAATTATATGTTGATTATGCAAAACCTATGAAACACCTACAAAAAATATTAACCTCTATTACAATTTTTATAGACTTTTACAACTTTGAATGGAATAAGCTTTGTACATTTTTTTTTTAATGTGCTATCAATAGCGTACTTGATAATAGATCATGGCATAATATCCCGACTTAGTACCACGCCATAGCGTGGTACTAAGTCGGGATATAAGTCCCGGCATATCCCGACTGATAAAGTAATAATCAGCTAACACATTTAAATTAACATATGAAATTAAAATATTTGATAAAAAGTATAAATGCTTTAATTAAAATAAAATTTTAAAAAATTAATATTTAAAATGTCATTTTGAAAATTAAAACTCAACGGAGATACTTGTTTAAAAGCCATTTCTCGACGTTAAAAATACAATCGATATTAATTTTGAATGAGCGAATACCCGGTGTGATATTGACAAATTGAGAACTTCCAACAAAATCAAAAAGAATTTTTTTGTTTTTATTTTGAAATAAGGTTTAGGTTTCTTTTCACAGTTGGTATCTATAAACATAAAAACATGAATCAAAAATTCTTATATCTAACTTTATATTTTTTAGATCTTTTAAAATATAACCTTCTACCGCAAAAGATAAAAAAAGGTTTCTAAGCTAACTCGAAAATTTACGTAATGAAACTCTGGAATACTTTAATTGCAAAACGTTAAAATAGTTAAGGAATCTAATTAGACCGTTTTTTAAAAAACCATATAAAACAATATTTTTTTTTGCAATAAATAAAATTTATTTTTAAAACGCGTTTTTAAATTATTGGCCATTAAGCCAAAAAATACTAAATTAATATTTAATCGTCGCATCACTGAGCTGCTAGGGTCATTATTTTCAGTAATCAAAAATTGAGTCTTACTAACACGGCTCCTGGATACGTGTTTTTTTCGTATAAATTAAATTAAAGAATAAAATAAAAAATGGTGGAACACTGTTTCTCAAATAAAGAACGTTTGGTTTGGGTTGTTTTTTTCTTTTATAGCGTTACTAAAAGAAAACAGTTCGTAAACGTTTCTTACTTATATCTAATATATTATTTATATATTATCTATAATATTTAGTTCTTATATATTATTTTACCTTAAATGTTTGTTGAAATTCAATTTTCAATATTCTCTAAATGGCGTTTGTTCTGGAACCGATCACGTAAAATTTAAACTTTTTCTCATTTATTTCTTACCCATGAAAAAGTTATTGAAAACCTTGCACCCCACGCCATTTGAATTTTTCTACGGTTTTGATTTTCATCAACTTAAGTGAATTGCATGTTAATATTTTTGCGCATTTGGTTTTTATATGAAAAAACTTGTCATTGCCCTTGATGGTTTCGATGACGTCTTTGTAATAGAATGGGATTTCATTTAAGGATTTGGAAAAGTTGTTTGTTGTGAAAAACAAATATTGGAGATTATTTTTGCGCTTTTTGTTTGATGGTTCGTTTAAAAATAGTTTAAGATGAAAAAAGACTCGTGAGAGTTTTCTTTCTCCTTTATTTAAAAAAATTGTTTTGTACTTAGGGTCAAGCATTGTATTCGTGTCAAAAATGTGTAGTCCTCCTGTTTTAATTTGAAAATTTAAAACATTTTTCTAAATTGGTTGCGCGTATTTGCTGAGTGACTGGTATGTGAATCTCTCATCTTATATTTGTTTCACTATATTTTTGCTAATGGGGAACCATTAAATATAAAGCATACCTTAAAAAAGGACAATAGAATTTACAAAAATACAATTGCATCTTATAAATATGTTTCTGTAATTAAAGCTTTTAATTTTTTTTCTTACTTCCAATGCGTTAGCAACTATAAGCCAGATAAGTGTGGAAGAATAACTCTAAAAAATAAAAAACAAAAAACAAAAACAAATTTACCCTACAGTAATTCCACGTAACTTTGCCTTACCCTAGTAATTATCTTAATATATAATTCTTCGCATACTAGATAATAAATACATTTGCACCAGAAGGTTCTCTAATGAACTTTTCTATTCTGATAATCTACATTTTAGAAATTGTTATCAAAATGTTTAAGGTATTATGTTAGAAAACAAAGTTTAAGTAGGACTTGAAGCTTACACTTGTATTTAGGTAACATTAATTATTATCATTATTAATTGTCATTTTTAATCTTTTCATCTAACAGTTCTTTTAAAAATTTCTTTGCATTGATTTAATCTAGTGGGTACAAGTGATGACGTTTAAAAAAAGTATTAAACATGTGTTTTAAACATTGCCCACTGAGAAGATATGTCAAAAAGTATCAATAAAACTATTTCAGCATTAAATAAACAAGTTGTTGAATAAAATATTTACAAATCATTATATTTACTTGTTAATCAGATGGAGAGGTTGAGAAAAAAATAGAATCTTATTCTAAATATTTGCTTTTTGATCCAAGTGGCCTTTCTTGTGCCATGAATCTTCTGCTTAATACGTCACTAAGTTCAGGTGTTCTGACTTTGTTACCATATTTTTTAAACAATTCTTTAATATTGAGTTGAATATCCACAATTGTAAATTTTAGTGGTTTGGAGAGAACACGTTCTTGATCAAATGGAAACAGCCTGCAATCTTAAATAAATGGAAATAGCCTGTAGCCTTTAATCCTGATAATTTCATTTGTTCATGGAAGATATGTTCTAGATTTTCTTTTCTTTTTGCATTAAAGGTAGGTTTAAAGAGTTGGGGAAAAAACGTTTTTTGGTAGATTAACAACCTTTTTCCCAATGGATGTTTGACTTATTGGTTAAGAACCTCCAGTTAGCTTTTAAACTCAAAATTTATTCAAAATCTTGTGTCTGTAATAGGTGAACGGATTTGGTTCCTAAACATATTAATATTATATTATACTTTCTAAAATATTGAAGACTTTTAAAAATATATATGAATTTAAATTATCGCAAAACAAAACCTTTTACTTTCATATTTGTGATAAAGCCAGTTAACAGCTTCTCATTTGAAAATTTAAACTTCTGTTCAGTCGCTGCAAGAAGTTGTCAATCTTGATCCTTTTTGTCCATTGAAGAGACGGTCGGACCAACTGGGATTACTTTTAAAATTGAAGAATGGAACTAGCTCACTAAGATACTTCCACAAAACAGTATAACATGATCTCTTGTCAATTCTGAATGACTGGAGAATTGTTGTAAAATAAGTTTTTTTTTCCATTATAAAATCCTGTTTTATCCGAAAATAAGTGTCACTCGCATTAATACATTTCTTTCTCCAGATTTAGAAAAAATAATTTTATTTGAATGAAACCTGCACAAGTTTTTTAGAATGTCTCTATTTGTAAAGATTGCATCATTCCTAATACGGTTAATTATCTTTAAAAGTTGACGCTGTTTTTTCCACAACAATCCAGAAAAAATTTAACAATACCATCAGAGTATTTGACACTAATAGTTATTTCTATGTCGCTTGTATTGCGCTATATGTTGCTAGTTATATTGCTTATGTTCCGCAAAATGTCGCCGCTATATGTCTCTTGTTATTTATTATATTTAAAAAAAAAAAGTGATTTTTAAAGTTAACATTTCTTCTTAATTCTAAAAGTAATAGAAAGTCCTACAGGTGTCTTACAGTGCTCTTTTTTAGTTGATAAAATAATATTGTGCTGAGTACTTTACAAAATCATGTTGTCTAAGAAAAATTTAAAAACCTCCCAAAACGACATCTGAAAAATGCTTCTTGAAAAGTAGAACTTAAGAAAACGGACTAAAGGCCATATGTTCCTGTACCTGCAAAATTTTCCATCGCATTTGTAAATGCCAGAAATATAAAAATATTTGTTACAAATTACAAGGATTTGTTAATAACGTATCGGTCACAATTATCAAAAAAGCCGCAAATATTAAAATTGTTAAAATATCTTAATACTTTATAATATCAACAAATACAAGAAATCGACTTGATAATTGCATAATTAGTGATTAATGTAAATATCGGACTTGATAATTGTGTGATTATCGATTGATTAACTAAACAGTATGATTATGCAAATAAACGCTAAACCCTAATTAAACTAATAGAAGCGCGTAGTTTTTTAACTTTATTATCTTTATCAAAATATTTAAATGAAATTACTTTTATATTACCTAAACTATCTAATAATGCAAAAATAAAAACAAAAAAATTATTAAGTTAAAACATTTCTTTAAAAAACTTTTCTACTAATTATGGACGTTAGTGTTTATGTGTGTGTATGTATTTAATATATATATATATATATATATATATATATATATATATATATATATATATATATATATATATATATATATATATATATATATATATATATATATATATATATATATATATATATATATATATATATATATATATATATATATATATATATATATATATATATATATATATATATATATTTGTGTGTGAGCATATATTACATTAGCATATCATAGCCTATAAATATAAATATATACTATGCAGAATATAAATAATAAATAAATATAGAATTTTGTTTTTGTACTTAAACGTAGTTGAATGATAAAAATCTAATAAATCTACATTAATCTATTAAATCTAGTTAATAAAATCTAATTAAACTTTGAATGCTTTGTAAGATGTTTATTTATTTTTTTTGTCGGTAATAACTTATTTAATAATTAGCACAAACCAAATTAGACTGGATTAAACTTAAATAAACTTTTTTCTTATAAAGAAATCAACAAAAAAACATAATTTATATAAAAAAACTTATACCCAGCATGATCTTCACAGCATTTGACTTTTAAATTTACTAGATAACTTTATGACAATGGAATTTTTTTTGCTTTGGTTTTATTTTTAGGGTTTCAGCAAAAAACAACAAAAAAACAAAGCATAAAAAAAACACCTGGCTTGTACATTTACTACTTGCTTCAAATGTAATTTTGTGAGAAGTTAATTAAATCTTTATCTTTATTAATTTACAATATTTTTAAATATTTACGCATATTTAAATATGTATTCTGAATATTCCAAAATAAGCATTTATTTTTAAAAGATTTCCAAATGTGATTTAAACGTTTTAGTCAAAAATTACAAACGCTTGATATCAGCTTTTTCATTTTATTGTCATATGGTTCTAAATAAAGGTAATTTTTTTATATTGAATAATAAAAAACATTTTTTAGCATATTTTAATTTAGGAATTGTATGACAATATAAGCTATTGTTGCTTAGTAACGAATAACTTTATTATGTTATGTTTATCTATTACTTTATTACTTGCACTTCCTCGGGAAAACAAAGTGGATGTTTATATTCCATTTAATTATATTAGCTTAATTTGTGGTTTAAAGCTAGGCATTTTAAACTAGCAACAAAGTGGATAAATAAGTGTATAAAATTATATATATATATATATATATATATATATATATATATATATATATATATATATATATATATATATATATATATATATATATATATCCTTACATCGTAGTCAAAAGAGACTTCAAAAATATAACTTTCTGACTACCATGCAAGACTATATATATATATATATATATATATATATATATATATATATATATATATATATATATATATATATATATATATATATATATATATATATATATATATATATATATATATATATATATATATATATATATATATATATATATATATATATATATATATATATATATATATATATATATATATATATATATATATATATATATAGATATATATATATATATATATATATATATATATATATATATATATATATATATATATATATATATATATTCATAAATATAAATATAAATATATATACATATATATAAATGTATATATATATATATATATATATATATATATATACATTTATATATACATTTATATATACATCGATCTGATCGATGTATATATATATATATATATATATATATATATACATCGATCAGATCTTATTAAGGCGGTCAAGGCTAAACGTGCCTTTTGGGCAAAATACATTACTGCAGGTTGCGATACGCACAAATTACTCACAGAACCACATTGCATTCGTTACTAAAATGGTAAAATCTGCTAGGCAAAACTACGAAGAGAAACTTACCAGGGAGTAAAAGCAGCTCTAAACGCAAATATGCACATGTAAAAAGCAAACAGAGCGTCAGGAACATTGCTAAAAACAGCTAACAGCACATCACCCGCAATTTTGGCGATTTCGGCGATATATGCTCATTGTTAAATCAATCTGCTTTTGTTTTAGAGCCCGAAGGTCCAATGCCAGGTTTTGGAAGTGGTCCTG